CCTCCTCCCCTCCTCCCCCCCCCCCCCCCGGGACCCCAGGCTAAGCAGGCCAGACAAGGCAACCAACAACAACCATCCGACCGGGCAGGTTGGGTTGGCCGGGTTGCTGACCCTACCTACCTAGTAACTTACACAGTACATTTCACTACTCAGGCACTCCGTACAGAGTACGCACAGTCAAACTCGGCTAAATCGGATCGAATCGGACCGAACCAGATCCTGCGGACTTGCTTACTTGACCTCCGTACTGTACCGTACTGTACCTATCTAATGCTCTCTAGCTTTGCAAGGCATATAGTCTGAGGACAGTCCAGTCCAGTCCAGTCCAGTCCAGCACCCTGGTGTTTGGCTGGCTGTGTGGGAAAAAAAATGGAGATTCAGGTACGGAGACTATCATCAAATAAAGTTAACATCAAATAAACTCCCTTGTGCCTTGTGATTTTTCCTCCCTGGGTGGGATTATAATGGGCTACGTACCACGGTCCAGGAGATGGGTCGGGGAGCGGGCCCAGCCGTAAGCGCATTGCAGTGTCCGCTGCAGTGCCCACACCCACCACCCACACAATCCACATTCCGGTGGTTCATTCACGGGTTCCACTTTTGGACTTTCCCGGACTCGGACTTGGACTGGGGCCCGTACCTTAAGGAGGAGAGTATACTCTTACTCCGTCCGTCCTTCGCGGTTTGAATGTATCCCATCCCGTCGTCATACTCACCACTTTATAGAATCCTGAATACGGCATGTTTTACTGTGAGATTAGCTTTGTTTTTCCCCTGACCCAACGTACAGACTAAATATGTGCATGAATTACTACTCAATATACTAAACGGGCTTAACCCCCCCCCCCCCCAAAAACCGGACAAACACCGCATACCTCATAATTCATTCAATCATAAACCTAATCAGCCGAATAAGTACCGCCTAAAAGCTCCCCTGGGGCTTCCCCCAATTCCCCGTAAAGTCGGCCGGACTCAATTCCCGCTCCTGGCCCGTGGCCGACAGGAACGAGTGGTTGGTCTGCGTCTCGCCGCTCCATGAGTGCGAGACGTCCGAGTGGCCCGTGCGCGAATGGTCGAGGCGGCGGCCGCTGAGACTCCTGCGCGTCGTGCTGCTGCGCGTGGTCGTGCAGGTGGCGTGCTCGAACATGGCGATCGAGACGTCCTCGCTGTCCATCCAGGGGTGCGACCGGCGGCGGGTCGCGATGGGCGCGTGCGTGCCCGGGTGCGTCAGGTCCGAGGTGACGCGGGTGGCGTCGACGAAATCCGGGTACTCCGCTATCGTCGCCCCGCCGCGGCCGGTTGTGCTTGTCGGTGGCTGCTGCTCGTCGACGGCGGTCGGCGGCGGCGGCGGACTGCTGACGGCGAGGGCGGAGTCGCACTTCCAGACGTGGTGGCCGCGGACCAGCAGGACGAGCTTGCCGAGGACGGCGAACTCGAGCTTCAGCTTGACGCTGTAGATGACGCCCTTGATCATGGTCTCCATGATGTAGAGGTCGCGGTACTCGATGACCAGCAGCCCCAGATCCAGAAAGATGATGATCAGGTTGATGGCGACCAGCTGGTACATGATCTTGCGCTTGCCGCGGTCCGGGTCGAGGCGCAGCATGCGCACCGTCTCCCAGATGTACAGCGCCGACAGGATGAACTCCTGCAGGCAGAAGCAGGTCATCTGGATCTTCTCCATGATGTTGTAGCCGGCGATGAAGGCGGCTTTGCGCGGGGCCAGGTTCGAGCCGTACGTGAGCACGGTCGTCGGCAGGTGCAGCAGGCACGCGTCGATGGTGATCATGTACCGCACCTGGCGCAGGATGCGCGGGTTGGGCAGCACCAGGTGCAGCCGCGAGTACAGCACCACCGACTGGCCCGTCACCATCGTGTACCAGCCGATGGTGATCAGGGTGACGGACAGAGCGGCGGGCGCCAGGTCGAAGTATTTGAGGAGGAAGCCGGTGGAGTAGGGGAGGAGCCCCAGCGAGGAGATCAGCAGCGACCAGAAGTAGGGGCCCCGGAATTGGGCAAAGGTCACGAAGACGAGGATGACCAGCTCGATGGCGTTATACCAGCTGATGGCGGCCAGGGTTGCAATGGCGATGCGGAGGGCCATACTGTGGCCGGTGTAGCCCCCGACGACGCCATTGCCGGGGGATGTGGTCGGGCCGGTGATCATGGTTTCATCGTTGGATGGGGAGATGGGGGGGGGGATGGATTGGAGGGTATGAAAGGGTTGGGTTGAGTCAAGAGTGGTTGGGTAGTTGGGTTGAAATGGATGGAAGTAGTATAGTGTAGTGTAGTGTAGTATGGAGCTAGTGGTGGAGTGGAGGAAGTATAGAGAGGAGCGGAGAGGAGAGGAGGAGAGGAGGAGAGGAGAGGAGAGGAGAGGAAAGGAAAGGAAAGGGTAAGAGGAAGCGAGAGGAAGGCCGTGGAAGAGGGAAGAGAAGAAAGTGAGAGAGAGAGAGAGAGAGAGAGAGCGAGAGAGTAGAGAGGAGAAGAGTAAGACTAAGAGTAAGAGTAAGAGAGGAGAGG